CACATACACACACACACACACACACACATATATATATATATATATCCAAAAGTCCTGGTTAATTTCTGACCATGATGCATATCGTGTTTTCAAAACACTTCATTTTACATACAAGTAACCCTAAGCCAAACCCTAATCCTAACTCTAACCATATAGTAAGTATATGTAGTTAATTAAAATTACTCAGTACTTAAATTTAGAATTACACTGTAACAGGGACACCTTAAAATAAAGTGTAGCCAAAACATGTATACACATACAGAAGAAAATAATATCAAAAATAAACTCAAAGCCTTAAAAATATAGCATTTTTGCTATTGTGAATACCAATCAATTTTTAGTAAAGTACAAAAACATAATGGAAGTATATCAACAGGCTATTTCAGCGCTGATCTATTGCTCAAGCTTTCTGTGTGAGCTAAATATACACTGTAAAAAAGATTCAAAGCTATTTGTTGTTTTATAGCAAAGTTGCATGTGCAAATGCCATGACTACACGTCCCAAAGTTACTTATTAAATGCTAATTTCCTTAGTTTGTAAAGCTGCACTGATTCACACACAACACTATCCAATAAATCACGCTAACACTATTTATACTATATAGGTCGTTGACATGTTAAACAGTGACATGCATCTAAAACCATTTTAAAATTTGTTTTTCTAATCATACAAGTCATATTAACTGAGAATAAATTAACTATTTGTAGTGTACTTTTAAAAAAGACATTGTGTCACAGCACAACCATTTAGTGTAAGTGGGGTGCAAAAAGTGGTTTAAAAAACTAAAAATATACCTAAATATATAAACATCTATAAAAACATTTTTTGTCAACTACTCAGAAACTTAAGTCAAACTGAATAGCAGATAGAAAAGCCAAACTGACCTGTCACTCCAAGGCTTCTTTCTTCCGTTCTTTGGCTTGTTCTGCCCTCCTTCACTTCTCTCCCATGTCTGTCTGACGTTGCTCCGGTGTGTGTGCAGTCAGTCAGCTGTTGCGGAGCTGCATATGTACATGCAAGTGTGTTTTCCTTCTCCTTCTCTTTCTCTCACACAAACACACACACAGACATACAGACATTCTCTCTCATCTCAGTGTAAATGAGTTGTCAGGTGTGAAATTTAAGTGTGTTGTAGAATGTGAGAGTTATTTCAGCTCTCTGCAAGTCACAGCTCAGAGCGAAAAACTGCCTGTTCACAGAGCAGGTTCATAAGTTCAAAATCAAACACTATATTAATATAATGCAATTTCTATAATCAAAGCATATGAGGTGTTTAAAGGCACTGAACTTAGTATAGTAACATGAATGTTGATGACTGTTTATTATCAGAGGTCATCACCTCAGCAACAGGACAGTGGCCAGTGTCATGTGATCTCTACTGCATCATACACAGTCAATCGTGGCCTGTGGGAATGTAAGGACTAGTTCATCCTAAAATGAAAATGTCATTATTTACTCACCCTCACGGTTGTTACCTCCATGGAACAATGTTCAAGCATGCAATTAAAGGAATAGTTCACCCAAAAATGAAAATTTGCTGAAAATGTGCTTAGCCTCAGGCCATCCAAGATGTAGATGAGTTTGTTTCTTCATCAGATTTGGAGAAATGTAGCATTCCATCACTTGCTCACCAATGGATGCTCTGCAGTGAATGGGTGCCGTCAGAATGAGAGTCCAAACAGCTGATAAAAACATCACAATCATCCACAAGTAATTTACATTACGCCAATCCATCAGTTAACGTCTTGAGAAGACAAAAGCTGCATGTTTGTAAGAAACAAATCCATCAAGACATTGCTTCGGGCTAAAATGCAAGTTGTCTATCCATAATATTGCTTACTCCAGAGAAAAGTGGTCTCGTCCGAAATATGCACAGATCAAGCACCATTTACATGGGAAAACTGTCCAAAATAGTTCATATATATACTTTAATTCTGCATACATTTCCATACACACTCACACATACATATATATATTTCCTTTGTTCTTATTTCCTTAAATATATTTTCAAATGAAATGGAGTTTCCGATAAAACAACCATCACCGCCGTAACAAAACACACATACACACACACACACAGTCCATGTTTGTGTGCATGTATGTGTTTGTGTAGGTTAACAAGAGCGCACTTAAGCAATATAAACGATGGGTCCTTTCATTGTGTTGGAAGACTGATTCTGCTTACGGTATTAAAACGCTTACATAATCCTTATATGGTTATTATTGGCATTACGATAACTTTTTTACTGCTTAAAGTCAACACGAAACAGTCTTCAACCCATTTTACTTTCATAATCCAACATATCTGAGTAAAAAAGGACATTCAATGGTAAAAATGTAATGCAGGACTTGCCTATATGTGTCTATATGACTGGCGGTTAAAAATTAAAATGAAGGAAAATTACATTTGATAAGCATTTTTTGTTTTCATTGGAATAATGCGCACTATTTAAAAAGTAAACGGGGTCGTTTTGGTTTCATGTTGACTTTAATCATCATATTATCAGATGAATCAAAGCCTGCACGTCGTGATGCTAAAATATGCACAGTAGCTTCATTTGTATTAATATAATAATATCATATTACTAAAGTTCATTACACCTCTTGATCTCGTCATCCCAAAAAACAATGAAAGAAGTACATTCTCTCTGTCTCTGACTGGCTGAAGATGTTTGGCCATCTGGCTTCAGCAGGGACGACAAACATTTGCTCATGATGACTTTAGCTTTCACTCTGCAAGAGTGTTCGAGTATTTCACAGCGCTTCTCCATTGCAATCATCCCCACCTCTGTCCTTCAGTGGAAGTCTTTCCCTTTCATCCCAAGTGCTTTTTGTCTAACCCCAATCTTTCTTTCTTTCTATCCACTGTCCAAAATAGTTCTAAACAAATATGTGGCTGGATTTTGATGTGAGAGACAACAGGAGACAGACTTTTCCACTGGAGGAAGCGTTATTATGGATTATAGACTATTATAGATATTTTAGCCGGAAGCATCGGTTTGAAGTTAAAACATCTTAATGATTTGTAAAAGGATCTCAAGGATTTTTGTTTTTTTACGGACATGCAGCTTTTGGCTTCACAAGATGCTAACTGATGGACTGGAGTGGTGTGGATTACTTGTGGAATATTGTGATGTTTTTATCAGCTGTTTGGACTCTTATTCTGACGGCACCCATTCACTGCAGAGCATCCATTGGTGAGCAAGTGATGGAATGCTACATTTCTCTGTGCAAATGAAGAAACAAACTCTCGGATGGCCTGAGCAGCCATTTTTGGGTGAACTAACCCTGTAGCAAAGCATACAGCAAAAAGGGCTGTAAAAGCTGCAAAAATGATGGAAAAGTTAACTATTTATGGTGATAATTTCTGTCAATTATGGTCAAAAAGAGATGAGAATAAATTCAACAAGAGAATAATTTATTCAAACCTCTTAAGCAGAGCTGATGACTTTAGCTTTCACTCTGCAAGAGTGTTCGAGTATTTCACAGCGCTTCTCCATTGCAATCATCCCCACCTCTGTCCTTCAGTGGAAGTCTTTCCCTTTCATCCCAAGTGCTTTTTGTCTAACCCCAATCTTTCTTTCTTTCTATCCTCTAACTGGTTCTCTCTAATTCTCTCCTCTAGCTCTGAGTCGCCTCATCTCTCATGCGTTCGTTCTGCCCTTCAGAAGAAACAGTGGAGACAGAGAAAGCAGAGGAGAGCCTAGAAAACATGGAAGGGGGGAAAGAAAAAGAAAGGAGGCAGAGCATGAGGTAAGAAACCAAAGTGCTGGATATACTGATCATCTACAGACTATGATGAAGAATTTAGTATTCAAAAAGCAATTAAAGTTACATAAGTGTGCAGTATGTAATTATAGGGCACGTGTCAGTTGTGCAATTTCAAATAAATGCCAGGTTTAATGAAAGGAATGAGCTGTAATTCAATTGATTTGATGATTTGTTTGGTTTTAAATGGAATATGAAAAATCATAACTCAATCCATTTATGTTATAATATACACTACTAGTCAAAGGTTTGGTCCACTTGACCACTCATGACTTTTTGATCTAAATGCTTGTGCATATGTTTACATTTCTAAAATTAAAGTTTAGTTTTCAGTGCACAAAAAAAACAAGGAGACGTGAAAACCTTCAGTAGTGTCATCATGAGATTGGTTTGGATTGGAATTATTTCTTAGTTTTCATACTTTACTACTCTAAATTGTGGAAAAGGTTAATAATAAAGAATGAATAGACATGAAGGTCACAGTCTAGAGAGGAAATGGGTTTTGTGATCAAATGAAGTCTTCCTTACTTAACTAAACTTCTTTTAATAAACATAATCTAAAGCATACAAAAACATCAAGGGCAGGATATTTATTTATTGTTGAGTAAAGCTGCAGGCAGAATTATCCATGCAGAGCTAAATTTTTATGAAATGGTGGACTATTTTTAGGAAAACTAATATAAACGGCTTCTGATGCTTTCTGATGCTCTTTTGCTTGTTCATCTAAATCTACCCTTCATTTTCCCTCCTTTTCTTATCTTTCTATCTCACCTGTCTGTAAGTCTCTTAAGCGCACGCTCAATGTTCATGCGATGTCCGACCCGACTCACGCCCAGATCCAGGAAGTCCTCTTTTGTCAGAGACGGCAAGTGGGAGCCATCAATCTCATTGTCGAGAAAGCGCTCCCGGTGCTCTGCCAGATTCAGGTAAGTCAGCCAATCAGCAACATCATATTTGCTCCAGTAGGGGAGGGGCTTAGACACAAAAGGCTGATTGGGTGGAGGAGGAGTTAAGGGCGGGTAGCCCATACAAGATGGGGAGGAGCCTCCAGACAGGAAGTTGGTAGGAGAGAGAGAGCTGGAGACCAGCGCGGTGATAGGAGGAGCCACAGGTGATGGGAGCGGAAAAAGAGGAGAAGTATGCGGGAAAAAATTATCTGAATATTGATGGGCGACTCCCAACGGGGGGGTTAAAGAAGGCTGTATTTCGTATGGAGAGCCATAGAGTGGCGCAGACGGAAAGAGAGGGAGCGAGGATGGACGCGGAGGTCCGGGTTGTGGGTGGTCCGAGCAGGAGATGAGGGGACTGGGAGCTCGACGACGCTGGGAGTACGAATGAGATTCAGAATGGCGTAGCTCTGGTCCGGAGAACTGAAACTCGGAAGCTTTACCACGATACTTAGAGCGATGCTTCGGAGACAAGGGATAGGGGTAATAGGATGGAGAAAGCGGCAGATGAGAGACAGAGGAAGGAGACAGAGGTGCGTGAGAGAGAGATATCGGGGAAATGGGAAGATGAGGTAATGATGGAGGAGAGAGGGGTGCATGAGCCAGGGAAAGAGGAGAGAGGGGGGCATGGGGCAGCGACGGAGGGGACAAAATCCCATGAGGAAAAGAAATAGGAGAATTAGACGGCGTCCAGTCTTTGAGAGGAGGTGGAGCTGGGATCGGGGTGAGAGGTAATGGAGTCGGGGTTAACGCTGGGGTTAGAGACGTTACAGGAAGAGGAGACGAAGGTACGGGGTTAGGGTTCAGAGCCACAGAATGGCAGTTAGGTGTTAAAGAGTTAGGGGGAAGGTTTGGAGAGAAGGAGCGCTGGAGAGACGACACAGAAGCAGGGAGGAGAGGTGCACAGCCGGAGGGATCACCTGGAAACCTGTGAAGAGTAAATGAAAGTGAGTAAAGCAGACAGTACTGCCCATTTAAATCAGAAAAAATAGCAATAAAACTAGATGAGAGGTGTTTGCCAGTGAAAACATTTGCCACAACAATGCTGAGGTGTTGTGGGTGTTTGCCAGGCATTGCTATGTGGCTGCTAAAGAATATTAAGAGGTTTAAGCTTTTTGGGTTGCTATGATTTGAGGTATCATGCATGTACTGTATATACACACACTACTGTGCAAAAGTCTTAGGCCACTAGGATTTTCACCAACAAAAAAATGGTTTTAAACCATTTATTTCTATCTTTTGCTGTAGTGTGTCAGTAGGAAATATCAGTTTACATTTCCAAACATTCCTTTTGCCATTAATTGTAATAATCCAGTGAGATTTTTGTCTGACAACAGCCAGTGCTCCACACAGAGATCTGATCATCATCCAGTCTGTCTGTGATTACATGAAGAAACAGAACACACTGAGACAGACTAAATCCAGAAGAACTGTGGCAACGTCTCCAAGATGCTTCAAGAAACTTTCCTGCAAAGCTACAGTACTGTGAAGAATTTAAAAAATGCTGTAAAGTGAGGATGCTTTCAAAAATAATGTCATAAATAGATTATTCATCAATTAACTTCTATTAACTAATCAAATCAACATTTGGTGTGACCATACTTTGCGTTTAACAGCTTTGTCCTAGGTACACATGAACGTAGTTTTGCAGGTAGGTTTTTTGAAGCATCTTGGAGACGTTGCCACAGTTCTTCTGGATTGAGTCTGTCTCAGTTTGTTCTGTTTCTTCATGTCATTCCAGACAGACTGGATGATGGTGAGATCAGATCTCTGTGTGGAGCATTGGCTGTTATCAGACTCCTTATGCAAAGAAAAATATCACTGGATTATTTTATATATACTGGATTTATTATATATTTTTTTTTTACCTACACTCCATTTGAGATACAGTTGGAGGAAAAAGGTATATAGTTAAAATAAAACTGTACATTAGCCAACATAATGAATGCAGAAATTATGTAATTCTTAAAGGGTTCACATACTTTTTCTTCAGTAAGAACATGAGTGTCTTTTTGATTTCACAAGATGTCTCACCTATGATTTGACGGTGGTGCCTGACCCTGCCAGCCACCAAGCTGTTGTAGTTTACTGCCGAGTTCATTTATAATGCTGGCCTTAACGTTGGAGAGAGGAGAGTTCAGACGTCGATCCATAAATGGCATCTTCACTGCAGCATCGCCTCCTCTTCCCTGTTCCTGCTCTTCCTCTTCCCTTGACCTGTACATGTTGGGAGCAGTGCTAGCCTGCCGCTGTAGTGGTGGTCCGGTTCGTCCATTTTCTGTGTGCATGTGATATTTTGACATATTCTGAGTGTGCGTTTTTGCAAGTGGCGGGTTTGGAGGTTTGGATTTATGCACGTGCTCTTTGTGTGTTTTTTGAGCAAATTTATCAGGGTGAGAAAGAGACGAATCCAGGGACACTCTTCGGTCCCCTTTGAATCCATCCCCTACTATCCCACTCTCCATGCTTTCTCCCCGTCTTCCTCCCCTCTCCTTCTCTCTGCCTCCTTCTTGTTCTCTTCTTTCTCCAAAATTTTCCATGTGGTGATCACTGCAGCTGTGACTATCCAGTTCCTCAATCCCAGAATCGACCACAGCCTCCGACCAATCACGGCCCTTAAGTGCCGGAGGAAGTCGGTCACCTGCGATAACTGATGTATTTTCCAAAGGCATTGTTGTGGTGACAGTCATTACAGCCGCAGTTGCGGCCACAGTGGAATATGACATAGAAATGTTAGCATGGCCTTGCTGTGGGTAGAAAAGTGGGAAAGGCCGATGCAATGACATAGGGTCAGATGAGGCGTTTGGGGCAGAAGGGGAACTCGATGAAGGGAATATCTGAGGAGAAGGAAGGGACGGGGAGAGAGCTGACTGGGTCAGATTGGCCACCTCACTGTCGTAAGATGTAAGACTAGAAGCGGCAGAGTCTCCCGCTTGTGGCGAGGGTAAAGGTTGGGGTTGGCTGGTGTTTGGGTGCTGGGAATAGCTTGAGGGTTGCAACTGGGGTGGGTTTGCAGGAGGTATTTTGGGACACAGCTGTGGAGGGGGGATTAGAGGAGATGGTGGGAAAAAAAATGGATGCACCACAGCAGAAGGATGGATGGGTGTCTGCTGTGAGTCAGCTTGCATGTTGTCTGGTAGGGACATGGCGTCTTGCGGGGGTTTGGACAGCGTTTGCAGAGACTGTTGCTCCTTGGGTGGCTGAGATCTTGACAGCTCCTTCTGTTGTTGTTGTTGATTATATTCTGTTGTTCCATGGGTGTCTATTTCTATTCCGTTTGCAAACTGTATAGGGGGAGGTAGGGGCTCTGCAAACACGAACTCGTCGTCCACATCCACAGATGGAGCAGGAGGTGGAAGCACCATCACATCGCCACCCTCTCCAACCCCTAGATTTTGCCCTCTCTTTGCATCCTTCTCCTTTTCCATCCCAGTCTCTCCCATCTTCTGTCCTCCTCTGTCATCCTGGGAATTACCAGTGGGATTTTTGTCAGCCATGCCGAGTTCACTCTCCTTGCCTATAAAGGAAGGCCTGCGGGGAGGAGGCTTGGGCGGTATCCTCTTGTGCCCTTCCCTTTCTCGGTCCCGCATGTAAGTGTGGTACTGATTGACTCTGTTGTCTCTGTCCTGAAAGTGAGACTGGTACTGACTGGCTTGATTATCTGTAAACCGCACCTTTGGTGCCCCTCTTTCCTCTCGATCCACAATATTCTGTTCACTCCATTCCAAGCTCCCTGTCCCACCACCACTTAATTGAAGCATCCGAGGGGACTGGGGGCGACTCTGTGGGACTGGCCCACTTGTTGTTGGAGAGGCACCACTAAGGTATAGAGAGGTGTGTGATTGGTAGATGTAGAAGGGAGGAACAGGTTTTTGGTTTGGAGAGGAGACAGCAGAAGGAAACGCTCCGGTGCTAGACAGCTGCCGACCGAAGTGGCGTTCCTCTCTACGTGTTCGCCGGTCGTCTTTCAGTGCTCGCTCACGAGCCGCCAGCGCCAGCCCAAGTGGGCTTGTTGGGTCTAGAACCTTCCCCGTCAATGGGTGGATGAAAGTAGTGGCTTGATGAGGTGTAGCTGATGCATACTGTGGCAACCCAAACGCAGGCGGCATGCTTAAGGCATCGCCGGAGATCAATCCCTCATCGATAGACTTAGAAGGGCGCAATCGAGCGGAGGTGTTGGCCTCCAATGAAGTCTGAGCAGATTCCTGCTCATCCAACATGTCCTCCTCAGAGGAGTAGTAGAAGGAGGTGCTTCTCCGATGGGAGTCATGGTAGCGTTCGCGTTCCCGCTGTGCTGTGCTCTTGCTCAGTGTTTCCAGTTTTGACGGGATACTAGGTGGTTGAGGTGGAGCAGGCGTAGGTGCCACGACTGGGTTTTGAGGCTTTGCCTCTTCCTGCTCTTCATTATTCTGAGGAGACGGTTCTGTATCCTCACTGCTCGCCTGGCTGCTGTGCCCAGAGCTGCTGGTAGATGGCGCTTTCACAATAATCGTTGGGATCGAAATGGAACTTTTTTCCAACTTTTCTCGGCCGGTCTCCTCCACCTTGCGCTGCTTCACCAATAGCCCCTTCCCACCTTGCCGACCTGCAATCTTGGCCACTGCTGGCGCTTGGTTCCGTTGTGCGGTGGACTGTTTGGGGCCCACATCAGAGGGAGGCGTGGCATTGCTATAGCCACGCCTCAGGCCGCCCATTCTTGCTCCTCCCATCTTGCTGGTATCAGTTTCAGCCTGTGAAACACAATATTTCAAAGTCTTAAAGGGATAGTTCACCCAAAAATGAAAATTCAGTCATGATTTACTCACCCTTGTGTTGTTCTAGTGCTGTATGCCCTACTTTTTTTGTGGACCACAAAAGGAGATTTAAAAAAAAAATGTCCCATGTGCTTGTTCATATAATACTAGGCAATCAACATTAAGCTTTCAAAAAAAAGGCGCAAAAGTATCACAGAATGATCCCATATGGCGCATGCTGTATATTCCAAGCATGATATGGTTCGGCAAAAAAACAAACCGAAACTATATTGTACTATATGTATATATGTACTATATTATTTAACAAATATCCTGACCTTGGCCGTTGGTCTCTGTGCACGACTGTGCATTCTTGATACTCTATTAGTGAAGCAGTTCACTCCGACTCGCCTGGGAGAAGCCCACAAGTAGTGAAAAATCAAGATTTATAAAAATACAACATGAAATACAATCCATGTACCTTCTTCTCTGAGGTAAATGTATCTGTTGTGTTTGTTGCAACAAGTTATCACGGTCATCTGTCAACTGTCATTTTGACTGTCATGACAAACAGATTTCCGGTTTGGAGATATTCAGTGAAGTAAATTTTTTCATGACGCATTTTTATTAACCCTGATTTTTCATAACGTGTGCTTTTTCTGGGCAAGACGGAGTGAACTGCTGCGCTAATAGAGTCATCAACGTGCAGTCATGCACAGAGATCAACGGTCAAGGTCAGGATATTCATTAAATAATATGTTAAATTTCAGTTTGATTTTCACTAAACCTTATCGTACTGCATATAGACATGTATTCGGTAATGCGATATATCACAATAATGAATATGCACGATATTGTTATCGTGGTCACTTCAAAATACAGAGAATAATTATTTTTAACAAATTATTCAGAATTTTGAATGCATTTTAAGAATGCTTTTCCCATCAACTGGTCACAATGCACAACACTGCTGTATGCTGCATCACAGAAGCGTGCGCACTCTGATGTAAACAACCACGGATGAGAAGCGCATGACGGAGCGCGTGAGAGACACTCTGAATGAAAGCGCACATTCACTCTCTGACAGCAGATGGCGCTAAACATAATGCAGCTGTTACCACGGAAACCCCGTAAACAAAAAAGCTTTTGTGTTTCTGAAAGTGTTATTTAATGAGCTAACATGAACTAAGAGTTGTATTTTTTTTATAACAAAGTTATATAACAAATAATGTTACTACATTAATAACTTCTGTAGCAAATGTAGCTTTTGCTCATTGTGAATGTTAATGCGTTAACAAAGGTTAACTGAAGAGATCTTATTGTAAAGTGATACCTATTGGTCTTTATAATTCTTTTGCACTTTAATCTGTGTAAAAATTTTTACTTTATACATATTTTGTGTATTGCTTTATTGTATTTAAATGTTCAGTTATTTTTGTTATAAGAAACATTTTATTAAACCTGTTATATTGTATTATGACAACAGTTTTTTTGCAACTAAATTTCAATACCGTGATAATACCGTATACCGTGATAAAAGCATTATCAATTAATCGCAACATGAAAATTTGATACCGGCATATCCCTAACTGTATACCCCCCCGAACACTTGGAATATTTGGCATGTGTCACATGGGACCATTCTGTGATACTTTTGCATCTTTTTTTAAAAGTTTGATGCTGAGCGCTATCCACTGACATTATATGGACGAGCGTGTGGGGCATTCTTTAAAAAAAATTCTTTTGTGGTCCAAATGAGAAAGAACAACACAGGGTGAGTAAATCATGACTTAATTTTCATTTTTGGGCTAACTATTCTTTTAATACTTTTATTGTGTCTGTATATGTCCAGGAACAGACAAGAAAGAATATGAGCAATGTCTCTTGTTTAAGTCTTTGACCAGCGCTATATCAAGCTCTTACCCTGCGGTTGGGCGGGACCCTGTGCTGTGTCTGGCTATGAGGCAGGTGGTGCGATGGAGGCAGAGGAGGGACAGCAAAAAAATGTGTGGGTGCCGCTCTCCTGTCTGTGTGGCCGCCGGCAGACAGGGGCGGCTCAGGCGCTGAGGTGTCAGGTGGAGGGGGGATGTCCTCTGGTCCAGGCACAGAAAGACTACGAGACAGCTTCATAGTAGGAGGATGGAGATGTACCCTCTCCTCCTCGGTCACTCCTTTGGACAGAAAACATGCAGAACACAGTTACATAAACCGCACCTAGAATTACGGTGCAACTGGACTGAAAGGAGATGGATTCAACACTTGTTGCATTTAAACTCACCCATGGATTTCTGACGCATCAACATAGCACGCTGAGTTGAATGGCCTGATGAAAACTGGGCTTGGTTAAAACCATACCCAGACCCTGAAGACATCATGCCAACACCTGATTGTTCGAGAGTTTGCTGTAAAAAAGGGAAAATACTGATGGGATGGAATATTTAGCACATTGAAAGTTGGACAATCTACATCAGACAATCTTACAATTCTATTTCCACACAATGTACTTTTTTCAGCACCTGCAGCACAGAAGTGGTGTCACTCTCGCACTTATTACCAGGTGAAAAGCCTAACTAACATGACTTTGCAACAGCTAAGATGAGGCTAGCAAATGCAACTGGACATAAGAAGCAACATACTACAAAGAACCCTTTTATTCCACCAAAACTGCTTTTTCAAAGCTGTGTATATAACTCTTTTCAAGCATTTTTGAAGCTACTTTTTTTTACAACAGTGGCTTTTGATGTCACATGCTATTGTGCACACATCTATACAGCTGAGCGAGCTGATGCAGTAATCAAACAAGCTCTCCAAAACTTCTCTCTCATGTGTGAAAATGAATTGTTTTGTTCTGAACATTTCACCGATTCAAGTCCCCCGTGCTGCATTTTTGATATTTTTTTTACGCCGAAATATTTAGCAACATGCTGCTGTTCATGCTGTTGTTTTTTTAAGATACTTGTTAACGTTTATGCTGATGATAAATGACAAAAGACATCATAATGACTGTAGTTTAAATTATGAGTAACTTGACTTCAAAAGTAGCTTCCTCGACACTGTCGAAACGCTATGTTAATCAGAACAGAGATCATGAAACAGAGATGTTACCTCGTTAGCGTTAAAGCCCTTGTTTCGCTCCTTCTTGCCCCCGTGACCTCTGTGACCCTGAGAGTCTGATGTGCTAATTGTCTGCTGAGCAGCGGCTAGAATCTCGTCCAGCTTGTCTGGAGCATAAAAAGAGAAAACGAACATGCAATAAATCATGAAAACCTATTTTTTGCCTTTAGTCTTTTTATTTAGACTGGAGGTGAAACCATGTGCATATAAATAATTTACATTAAATGTGAGATTCAAAAGTGTGTATATAGACACAAATGTATAGCAGGAGATGAAAAATAATAAATGCAAAGGAAGGGTTTCTTACTAAGGGCCATTTGATAGACGCTCTTCTTCTTTTCTGGCGCTTGAGAGCTCTCTGTGTGATCTGAGCATAGAGAAAAACACGTGCGAAAAATGAACACACAAATACACAGTATCTGTCCATATATATCTGACCATAATGATCCTGATAAAAGCTTACAAGGAACAAACACACATGCAAGAGAAACATTTGGGATTTCATCAATTGCTCTTAAATGCCTCTCATCTGATAATCATACTATCTAGAGGCAGTCATAATACTCATTTCATCACCTGTATTCATTTGAAATCTGACATTCACATACTCATAAATGCAAAAAATAAATAAATAAATAAAGTCACCTGGTTTCGTTTTCCATGGTGAGGCAGCTGTAAAAGGAAGTGAGTAACATTAAATATGCATTAACGTTTTTATAATTGCATGTTTAAATGGACACTATATTTAGTTTAGTTTTTTTTTATCATTATTTCAAATTATTCCCTTGCAACAGTATCAACACTGTCAATACCCAGCAAGGATTTTTCTCAAGTTTGCAATCTACTTTCAGTTGTCATGGTAACAAACTAAGACAAAAACTGACAGCCAACAAACATTAGAACATGTTTTCAATGTCGTTGACAAGAAACAAATTTCATAACTAATACATGTAAACCACATACAGTTGTTTATTATTTAAAATCTAGACTGATACTGACTGATAAACTAATGAAGGACATTAATAACCTTGTTTTATTATCCAACTAAAAGAACGCATTAAACTCTACACAATATTTTTATAGGATTAAACAGTTAATTTCATAAAACCTGATAGAAAAGATATATTGAAAGATATATTATATATGAAAATGAGACTTGTTTTAGGACCTATTTTTGTTTGGTTTTTGCATTATAACATTTTTTATGACCAAAAAACAAACACATTTTAAAGTAGTATTTATTTATTATGGTTGTGAAATACAAATACTGTAAAAAAAATAAAAAATAAAAAAAAGGAACTGTATTATATTAGATTCTTATTAATTAGAGTGACTGATGAGAATAGCATGAAAAAATCATTGTGGAGAAAAATAAAAAGTAAAACATCCAACAAATGTGCTCAATTCTCATAAATTGAAAATAAATTGAATAAACACACACACACACACACATATATATATATATATATGCAATTTATCCTGGATCGTTTTTGTAAGATTCATTCTAAAATAATAAATAATTATACTATTATTATTATCATTTAAATGATTATGAAAAATAATATAAATAATATAAAATGACACACCTTTCTCCAATGTGTGCAAAAAAGAGAGAAAGACAAACAAGCAAATTATCAGTCAAAATGACAACTGAATGCATGATGTCAGAGTTTTAGGATAGCAGGAAATGCTTAATAGTCTAACAAGATGCGTAATGTGTGTATATTATGTGTTTGTAAGACTGTACCCATCTCCTCCAGTTCTGAAGTCATGGATTTGGAGCGCAGCGCTATAGCCGGAGGGGTCAGCCGCTTGCTCTGCTGGGGAACTAAAGGGAGAGAGAGTGCTGTTAAACCAAATCAAAAACTGCCTGCAATGCCATTCATTCATACTCCCACAGACAAAACGCTCGCTGACCTTTCTTCTTAGGCATTTCCTCCATCTCAGGATTCCGCGCTACCATGACGACCTTCACCATCAGACTGTTCCCGCCCTGGCGAATCATGTTCACCACCTGCCTGTGACCCACCTTCACCACATTGATTCCATTCACCTGTGAAAATACAGCCATCAACCATACATTGTAATACATATAACTGTTCAAAAGTTTGGGGTCAGTATTTTTTTTTTTTTTTTATTAGAAATTAATAGTTTAATTCAGTTAGTATGCTTTACATTGATCAAAAGTGACAGAAAAGACATTTACAATGTTACAAAAGATTCTATTTCAAACAAATGCTGTTCTTTTGAACTTTCTGTTCATCAAAGAATCCTATCAAATGTATCACACATATTGTGTCACAACACATATAATAATATATAGCAGCAAAACTGTTCCCTCAACATCGATAATAATCAGAAAAGTTTCTTAAGTAGCAAATTAGCATATTATAATGATTTCTGAAGGATCATGTGACACTGAAGACTGGAGTAATGATGCTTTGATCACAGGAATAAATTATATTTTACAATATATTCACATAGAAAACAGTTATTTTGAAATGTAATAATATTTCACAATTTTACTGTTTTAACTGTATTTTTAATTAAATAAATGCAGCCTAGATGAGCAAAAGAGACTTTCCAAAAACATTTTAAAAATCTTACCAACCCCAAACTTTTGAACGTATATATTCTAAATGTTCTATTTCTACTCTATTTTTCAATTCAAGTGACTTTCAGAAAGATTAATGAAGATTTTAAACAACAATTATATAAGAAAGGAAATTTGATTTGCAGTTTAAAGAAAGAGAGAGAAACACAAGTGGGTGTCTTAAGCGTTCTCATCAGACTTGATTCAAAATGATTCAACGTGATTCACAAACTCCAAATTAACCAGCTGGGAACCATGAGGTGAAGGTGTTTGCTGCTAACAGGGCGCTGCGTCTGGAGATGCATCAATAACAATATATTTTGCAATACCACAGTCACGATGGCATATACAGAGAACACAAGATCCACGTCCTCTTCTCTTCCAGAATCAAATTAAAGTAGGTAACACAAGTATCACAGTGAGGTTTATCGCCTCCGTGTAGGTGTTAAGATTTGTTCAACACCTCACAGACTGGAGACTATACTGCTAAACTAGTTTTGGCTTTTGCAGCGATGCAGCATTCGGTCTGCTATAACTTTCAATGGCTCTTTATCTAATAAAAACTTGTTTTAATGGGTCATTAGGTGGATCCATGGGTCATCCAATGGGTCATCCAGGTGGATGCTGCACACTGGTGATGGATGAGGAGATCCCCCCTCACAATGTAAAGCGCTTTGAGTGCCTAGAAAAAGCGCTATATAAATGTAATGAATTATTATTATTATTATTATTATTAAAAGTGTCTAAGTCATGGTTGCATCAAAGGAGGCGACGTCTGGGCTAACCTCGATCAGGAAGTCCCCCATCCGCAGGCCGGACCTCCACGCGACGCCCCCCTCGTCGACAGACTCGAGGTACTGCAGAGCAGGGAAGGCTGGTGACGGGCTGAACTCCTCCACAGGAGTCTGGGCTGGAGATCACAGATCACAATCACAGACGTGATCCGTCTATGTCATGCTGCGTGCGCTCGGTTATCAAACCAGTGATGTCCATCACTCACCTTTGGCCCCTCGCAGTACAAAACCGAAGCCTTCATTGTCTTTTTTCTGCAGAAGTACAGTTTTCTCTTTTATGATGTAGTCACTGTCAGAGAGAAAAGAGAGGAGCTCATGTGAAAGACTCGCAGATGCACAGAAGTTCTTCAGATGGGATCAAGTTTGGATCAGAGATATTGTAGATAACTGAAACTATAAAAACAAATCAATAAATAAAAAATGTATTTCATTTCAGTTAGTTGCCAAGGCAACATTTCTCATTTTCATTTAGTTTAACATGATGTAAAATATATAGACATATGAATGATTTAATAATAATTACAATTATTATTATATTACTACTACTACTAATAATAATAATGAAAAACACACAAAAAAATCAAATGAAAATGTTTTCTCTTTTATGATGTAGTCACTGTCAGAGAGAAAAGAGAGGAGCTCATGTGAAAGACTCGCAGATGCACAGAAGTTCTTCAGATGGGATCAAGTTTGGATCAGAGATATTGTAGATAACTGAAACTATAAAAACAAATCAATAAATAAAAAATGTATTTCATTTCAGTTAGTTGCCAAGGCAACATTTCTCATTTTCATTTAGTTTAACATGATGTAAAATATATAGACATATGAATGATTTAATAATAATTACAATTATTATTATATTACTACTACTACTAATAATAATAATGAAAAACACACAAAAAAATCAAATGAAAATGGAAAATAAAAACAAAAATTATAACAAAAAAAACCCATCCCAATTATACAAACAACAAAAATTTTATTTTAAAAAGCTTATTTTATCAACCTATATTCACAATTAAGAAATTACTTGTCATTTGAGAATATCACCCTGAATCAGGGTTATTATTGTTAATTAAATCTAAAATCATAAATGATTTTATTTTTTTTATATCAAAATGGAAAAAAAATTTAAACTTTTATATTCATTTTTTTTAATTCAGTTATTTGGCAATGAAACATTACTAATTTTGATTTAGTGTAAATTTAAGTACTAATTTACTAAAAGTACTTAAATCTGAAACAAAAAATAAAAACCATACAGACATATTTAAAAAAATAAATAAATGAAAAGGTACAAACTCAACAGAAAAAAAGACATACTTAAAAAATTACAACAAATATAAAAATAAAAACTAATTAATAAAAAAAAATTATAGTTAAACTACAACCATAAAAAATTAGATAAAACAACACTGCACTGAATCCACTGGAAAATCTAGCTGTTTTGGAACATGGCAGACAATTTCTTGCCGTTTTGGGCCAGTAATCATCTTGGACCAGCAGCAAAAGAGCTATAGTTTAAAGTGGTTAAGATTTTTGTAAAACTGTAACTAGTAAACCAGTTAATATCTGGTTTTCATAAACTAATGACTTGCTTGGACCAATCAGAAATGAGCTACCATGTTCCAAAACAAAGCTACTAGCTGAAGCTCAAAAACAGAAATGATTCTGAAATGTCATATATGTTGGGTTTACAGTAGCTATGGTATTTTGGCGGACACTATGGTTACCATGGTGAGCGTATGGGGGTTTGTAGACGTGTGCAATTATAGTTCAGTGCAAAGACAATGACAGTTACGGACTAGCATTGTGTTCTGTCAGCTCAGCTCTTATTATGAACATATGCTCTGACTGCGATATCAATGCAAAGTATGATGCTTAAAAAACACAAACGCCACAATGGCAGGCACAATGTAAAGCCAGTACTTAGTAACTTGCTAAAGAATTACCACACAGATTAACTGCAAGACATTCAGATTCTAAAAACGTTTTTCAAACATTCCATTTTGGTTGAGGACACGTTAAAATTGCCAGTTTGCTTAATGCAAGTAGAGCATAAGCCTGTCCCATTAAAATCATTTTAAGAACATTTGTTGATAACAAGTACACAGCCTTTATATAATGTATTCCAAAACTTTGGGTCCAAAAATGAGCTTTACCTCTGCCTATTTGATTAAAAAGGTTCTCATTTTACTAAATCTACAAAACAAGGACTTGATTATGTCTCTTTTTTATGAACTGAATCAGTGGTGATACTGCAGGCCTTATTTTCTTCTACGGTCATACTGATAAGTTCCCCATGATCCTGGAGATCCATCATGGAAACAGCACAGAAATACTGACGAGCCACAGAATTGGCAAGCACAGGGTTTAACGTTATCTAACAACAAACATATCAGCTGTACCTGAATGACAGGGAAAATATTGTAATGCATAATGATGATACGTTTGGACCGAGCAAACATCCGTTTAAATGCATGCATATGCATTACTATATTCTGTTTAAAATGATTTTTTCAAAGTTGTAAACAAAACATTATTGAACCACTTTATCAGTTTTTCTACTTCAAAATGTTATGTTTAATTCAAAGTGTTACTTGCCATTTCTTTGTTCTTATTTGTGAAATTTACTAGCAATTTCTGAGTGAAAATTGTAAATCCAACTGGGTAGTAACGGATTACATGTAATCTGGATTACATAATAAATGTAGTACTTGTAATTGGAGTATATTACATTTTTAAATGCTTATAATCAGATTACTTTTTTATGAATTATTCATTTTAATTTTACATTTTTATGATTTAATTAAATATTATATTTTCATCAACTCAGTTGATGCAGTTCGTTGATGCAGTTCTGCAGTTCTTTCATTTTCCCCAGTTTGAGAAATCCTGGAGTAATGTAATGTTTAACACATTTCACATGTTGATAACAAAGAAGGAATACAGTATGTGTTATTTGCCTTTGCTATTTATAACAATAATCCTATTCAAATCTATAAACAAGTTAGGTCAAAAGTAATCTAAAAGTAATCCAAAAGTAGTCAGAATACAATACCTAAAATGAGTAATCTGGATTACATTACTGACTACAATTTTCACCATGTAATTTGTAATCAGAGATTGCAATTTTTAAGTAATCTATGAATCACTGCAGACGACATACAGTACTTTATACTTCTAGCTCTTATATAAAGCAACGTATAAGCTAAAAACCAAAACCCTACTACAAAAGAAAAATGTTTACAATTTTAGAATGAACAAAATCTGAATTTCTCCAACCAAATACAAACCCAGATTTCCTTAGCTAATTAACAGACTTATATAAAACGAATTAGAAAACACTTATGACAAACCCAACCCTTTTAACTTCAGCTAAACATTTTTTTCTTACGTTTTCCATTACAAAATCCTCACGTGGCAAGTTTGCCCAATTTCTAGAAGTTGATACGTCTCGAATTTTAAACCAACCCGACAGCAGCATTTTCCTACTTAAACGCCGTCTTTAACAGCATCAACACATCGCATCTGTGGTAGAACGAATAAAATATTGTGAGGCAAATCGTTCGGACGGAGCAACCAACAGTTTAAATGCACAGATGCGATCACATATACACTTCATCTGTTTCACATCACAAATGCATCTCTATACTATATTGTGGTAACACATACTTACTTAACTAACTGACTTATACAAAGCTAATTTTAAATGAACCCAAACCAAAAGAAAACTTAAAAATGTAAGAAAACATATTGATGCCATATTTGTGAGAATTACAACATGCAAACAAACTCATATTCAGATTATCAGCAAAACCAAAGCAAGTTCAGTTTTTGCCACTGAAGAAGATTGTAATTTAACACCTTTATCTTGAGCTGAACGCTTTCCTTTTATTGCAATTATGATATCCTTACAAAATCCTCACATGACAAGTTTGCCCATTTTCTAGAAGTTGATCCGTCTCAAATTTTAATCCAACCCGGCAGCAGCATTTTCCTACTTAAACGCTGTTCCCAACGGCATTACACATCGCATCTGTGTAGGAATGACAGTGGGAAAGATAGTGATGCATAAATGACGATACGCCAGCAAGACTCACAAACGTTCATGCCATATTTGATCAACCCCGCAGCATCACAACTTTCTATGATGTACTGTGTTTCACACACACACATACATACACCCATAGTGACTCATACCCTTTCAATGACTGAAAAACACACATACATGTCACATGAACTCATTTATAACACTAACATACACGCACACAGCAAAAAATGTTTTCTGACGTGTCGACGCCGTATGTACAATGACAGCCACATTCACGACTCAAATACACACGTATAGACACATATATACACACGCACTGTAAGAGAGAGAGGGATCTGATTTACCATAAACAACCAGACTGTACACACACACACACACACACGCACACATACAGATGATATATACTGTGAAAACATTGATTCTGCTCAACAGTCTGTCTGCTACCTCTTCAGAGCATCCATCTGCCTCTCTCTCTCTCTCTCCGCATCGACAATAAAAGAACGGAGCA